TGGATGAAGCGGAGTCCAGCCCGGGGTCGTCACATGTGGTTGCCACAAGCCCTCCGGACGCTCCTTCGTCGAATCTGCCCGACGCGCCGTTCTCAAGCCCGCCCACCTCTGCTCACTCTAGGTGTGTGACGCTGTGTTTCATTGTGAAAGCGAAACTACTTTGTTTGGTCTTCCAAAAGAGGACACGACTAGAAATCAGTGGTTAAGTTGTATTTACAACACTGTTCCAGAACAGTTTAACCCAAATATTCAGATGTGTGCTGCGCATTTTATGGAGGACTGTTTCCTGATCCTGGTAGAGTAGACTACAATGCCGGCTGTTCTGACTCACAGACTGTAAGTACGTTTTTTATATTTAAAGGATTTGCCACTGACGATTCAAATGCGAGTTTTGAGCAGTGTAGAGTAGCGCTTGTTGTTTGTCATTTCTCCGATCACAAATGCAGACATGGTTTTATGTTACGCTCCGGCCGGACAAGGCATCATAGTATGTTAAGGGCCGTAACATTTCCGTCACACGCTTGAGGTATTCGGCCAATCACAACACACTGGATAGCTGGCCAATCAGAGCACACCTAGCTTTTCAGACCGATGAGCTTTGTAAAAATCGATGCGTTTCAGAAAGGTGGGGCATAGTGGAGAAACAATAATGTACAGTATGTGGAAAATAATGTGTTTTTTGAACCTTAAACCGCATAAACACATTTCATTACACCAAATACACAAAATATTGTTCTTTTTAGCAACATCATACGACCCCTTTAAACATTCAGGATACACTCACAAACGGACCATTTTAAACAATAAACTGATATGAAGACATAGATATGTGTCATTCAACATACAACAACTTTTGAACCTTTACTTTTCTTTGAACTAAACACTTTTGAACGTCACTGCCTCTAGTGTTGATTTTAGCTGGAAACTGCAGCTGTTCATACGTTTAGGTAAATTTTTTGAGTTTTGCAGAAATGCAGGTAGAAGCATGCATTTTCAGTGAGCTTGGGTAGCGTAAATGTGCTTTAATGCCGCTTGATGTTTCGATTATGAATGCTGGATATGAGAAATGATCATGTTAGAAAACTGTGCGATTGCCTTTGCCGGCCCATTTGTCTTGTAGTTTATGCCTGAGTGCAATAATCATGTATAGTATCTACACCGTCATGACACACTTTAAAATGATGTGCTCCCTCTACTTTTTCACCATCCTCTATCTCTTGCGTCTACCTTCCTGTTCTTTCTTTTTTTTTTTTTTAAATGAAATTAGATATTTGGGCCGGGGCGCATAAATCAGATGCGTGGGACCTTTAGCACAGCAGCGGGTGAATAAATCAGTGTTGGTGTGTGTACTGGGGTGTGAAATGATTCTGTTAACATGTCATCTGTCCGGGCCGGCGTTCCCACCATCAGCCCGCTCTCAGACGGAGAGATTACGAGGAGCCTGTCAGTGCCAAATGTTTGACTCCTGATGAAGGACATGAGAGCTGTTCATACACAAGGCTGTGCAATTCCCAACCTGAATACCATTATTGGAGCTCAAGCTAGCACACTTTTCTCACTGACACATACAGTACAAGGACTCCTGGGTTTTTAATTAAGGCTAAATCATTTATATTTACTGGAAAACTTCAAAGCCTGAGCTAGCTGTGGTGTATTTAATCCACTGCACCGAGTTAAAGGCTCATGTTAAGCCTGGACAAATGGTGTAGCGATGAAGCACAGCTCATGTCACTTTCAAACCAAGCAGCTTTCTGTTGGTCAGCACAGTGAATTTGCATGAACAACTTGAACGCAGAGTGAAATCTGCATAGGGAAGTTCTTCATAAAACGCCCGAACACACAAATGAAATGACTGGATTTCGCCTGCAAATTTTCCTGCGATTCCAGAGTGGTTGCCCTTGTGAAAGAAGTGCACCTTAGCAACAGTATTTACGGAAATAATATATTTTTAAAAGAATATACTTAAGTGCAAACTGAATGTAACAATGTAAAAAGACACTTAATTAATGTGATTGTAAGTGTAATTACTTGTATTGACTGAAATATGGTTACTAACGATTGTACTGAGAAGCATTCTAAAATACTTTAATGTTATTTCTATCATAACTAACTAATGTATTTAAATATGTTTATAATTAATTGGGTGCTCATGTGTGTTGTTTTTTAATGTTAAAGCCATGTGAATTAAGGCTTTTTACTTTTTCACAATATTTTCGAGTGCCTTGGATTGATGAGTTTTTTGATGACATAAAAGAGTCCCGCATCCAAAGAGCACAGATTCATGGAGTTCACAACCCTGCAGCATTGTTTTTTTTTTTTTTTGCATATTTTTGGATGTATGTTTATAATTATTAATTTGTAATGAAGTTGCAATTTAGTACATATTAACTTAGTAATATTACAATTAAGTTCTCTACATGTAATTTAGTAAGTTAGTGAACACATCAAAAATAAGTGTACTTTAAAGCACAACAAAAGATTATTAAAACTGTTATTTTAAATGTACTTTAAAAAGTAACTATTTAAATTTGACACTATCACAAAGTGCTCCTTTTAAAAGTGTGCTTAAGTGTGTTAAAGTGTACTTTCTTTAAATGGCTTTATCTGCGAGTACAGTTTTAATGTACTGTACTTTTAAGATTTGATGTACACTAAAAGTACACATTCAGTACAATTAAGTACACTTATTTTTCACAACGTTAGTCACATGGATTTTCAATTCAGCTTGATTTAAAAGTAAGACATATATTGTATATTTCTGTTATAAACTGTTAAGTGCTGCGTTGGCCAACTGCTATTGAGATAAGTGTTAATGGACAGCATTCACCCTATATTTGAAATCTGTTTGGTTCCCATCAGGCCTATTAACTGGCTTAACCATTACAAAAAAACAACCTGGACTTGGACAACATGGAAACTCACATTAGTCACATTTTGTCTATTTTTACCACACTGGCAAATCAGTGGCAGTGTAGCATGTATGGAAACATGTTCAGTAAAAAAGACAATATACAGTACCATCACTCTTTCATATTGTAATGCCTAGGTTTTTTTTTTTTCTGTGTTTAGCTGGTGGCAGTTCTTTGCCTTCATTTCCACTTGTCTACAAATAATTTTATCAGTATGGCCGGCCACTGGGCGGTTGAGGAATTGTGGAGTCTTTTGTATG